TGATCTCTGACTGGAGAAACACTATGACCTGTTAATGAAAGTTTGTTTTCGCCTGGAACTAAAACCGGCCGGTAGGGGGCGATAACGAACGTTTATGTCAGTTTTTCTGACAGCAGGGAGCAACCCCCCACCCCCTAAAAAAATTAAAATAAATAAAAATCCAAATCCAGAAGAAGAAGAACCTCCATTGAGTAGTTTTACTGGTAGAGCCAGCGCAGTGTCTTACTGTAGGTGGAAATTTCACCTGTTGAAGCAGCAATGGCTTCAATTCAACATCTGAGAGAGTTTATCAGGGACAGACTGACGGCTGCTGCTGAAGATATCTTCTCAGAGTTTGAAAAAACCATCGTCCAGTACGAGGAGAAGATGGAGCGTCAGCGCGAACTGCAGGACGTCACCTGGAAGCCGGTGTTAAAGCTCCAGCGGACAGGTGAGTCAGACTGCGCGACTGGAGTGTGTTTGAACCCAGAGAGAGAGAGAGAGAGGTGGAGAGCTAACGGGCAGCAGCGGGCGGGCAGAGAGGCTAACGGACGACCTGAGAGCGCGAAGAACAAACTAGAAGCTCGTGTCAGGCACGCATATGTACGGCAGCGTCACCAGAACACGTTACTGTACGAAAAAAAGGCTCGTTATTGATTTTTGTTCTTTCAAAATTTTCCCGCCGTTTGTTGAAAAATCCGTTAAAGTGAACGGGAAGGCCAGAGTAACCAGACGCACAAGTTTAATGAAAAACATCAGCTTCCACCTGCCCGCGCACGCACAATCTTCCCTCTACAGCCACCATTTTACAATTAAATCGTAGGAAAATGTTTTCTTTCCAACAACGTCTCCATCAAAGCCAACTGATGTATGCTTTCTTAGACTGGAGGCGTTTAAGCAAGAGGAGTGCTTTCCCAATGCCCAGTTAACGACTGATAATTTCATGAAGGTTTTTAGAGAAAACGCAGAACAACCTGTTTTTCTCTCGCTCCCCCGGCCACACTTTTAACACCAGGCCTACTAAAATTTACATCAGTATAGAACAACTTCTTGGGATTCACACACTTTTTAAATCAGCCTGACATGATTTATTGTTTGGATTTTATGAGTCGTTTTGTGATAGCAGCACCAAACCCATTTCACAGGCAGTTGGCCTATGCCATCACCATGGCAACACAACAGCGCTCCTCTGACACAGGTGCATGTCATTATCTGATTGGCTGATTTGGATCTGCTCCCTGTCTTTCGGTGATTGGCTGAAATATTTATCCTGTTTCACCTCAAATCACTGGGCAGCTGATGAAGTACGTCATGTGTGCCACTTTTATAGGTACACCTGCTTCCTCGGTCACTTTATTAAGTACACCAGTGCACAGGGTCACTATTTTGGGGATACTCCTGGCAACTTTACTAGGAACATCCATTGCCACTTTATTAGGTATAGTACTGTGATAGCCAACCACTTTTTAGGGCCCATCTTCTTTCAACTTTTGTACCCAACCTGCTTATCTCCAATCTTTCAGCAGCAAGCTACAGACCATGTCCAGCACCAGCAACAATCCTACTGCAGATTCTCCAGAAATCTCCAGAAATTCTTGTATTTACATTTAGAGCTCTAAATGAACAAGCTTCTGACTGTTTATCTCACTTTCTTATGAAACATGATGCTGCTCACAGTCTTTGTTCCTCCTTTGAGTCGGAGCCTTTCTCCAGCCTCTGGGACCACTGCTCTGGAACAATCTCCCACTGTATGGACTCAGTTAAAAGTCTTTTTGCTTCACGAGGTTTTCTGTTGTGCTTCTCATTGATATAATGGTTATCTGTTTTCTTGGTTTTGCATTCCTGTTAACTGTATTTCTCGTTGTTTTTAATGATTGTGTT